ACAAGTAATTAAAAATACTTAAATGTTACATTTTTTTTTTAATTTTTACATTTTCTATCAGTAAGAAAGACGCTAAAGTAAAATATTCAATTTTAATTTCTATGTGCGAAATATTTTGCAAATTTTGTTTTCACATCGAAATTTATGTAAGAGTCATCATAAAAATTTCATTCACCTAATATTTTCGTCATATCAGTTATTCAGTTTGGCTTAATTTTAATAATATTAATGACCACTTAACACTCGCGGCTAAACGACGTGTTACGTAATACAATTAATTATATTCTCATAAATATGGACTCTTCTTTAAAAATAAAATTAATTTATTATAAGTGAGACAATGTTAAATAAAATTTAAATCGTGTTTAATTGCTACATAGTTTTGTCCCCTCTTAACTATTGACTACTAAACTATTTCCTTTTTATGCCTGGAAACACAAACTTATATCAATATCAATATATTTTTTTTTTGTATAGTACTAGAAAAAAAATCACAAATAATTTCCAGTACAGAAACACTGAACAAACTTGGAAATGCAAATCATTTGACTTTGCTTATCGTGTCACATTTTTTTCACACAGAACGTACCGAACGTTGATGATTTATATATTCTGTTGTTATTTTATGATCGATACGAATAAACTGATGTAGTTCTCTCTAAATATACACACACAGACGCTACTTTTTCATATTCGATACTTACTGTTATGATGATATTGAATGATTATTATTTTTACTATGATTTCATATTTATGTATTGTACCGCTAAAAATCAAAATAGTCTTGCCCGTAACCGCCAAGGGCATGTGATGTAAGATTATTCACGCATGTTATATTATTATCCAAATATAAATTGATAGTTGGTACTTTTATTAAATATAGGATGACCATTAGAATTTCCTGTGTTAAATTTAGATTTCCTAAATTAATCATTTGTATTAACTAACTTTTTGTAAATATAAAACGAGTTCCCACGCAAATTTCTATTTTGGCACAAACATTGTAGGATTTATTTTTTAAACGTGGTTGTCTACCGCTTGCTGCAGACGATTCAAAAATATTGGTTATATTTAGAACTTTTAGTTGTGATGTAACGTTTTTCTTGTACATGCACACTGAAAATCCCTAAATTCTATTGAATTATTGACCTTGAATACATCGCCCAATATGTACGTTATGTGTACTTTTATTTATTTTAATAATTTCGTAGTACACTTTGGCCTGTAACGCGTTTCAAATTAATACCAGTGAAACATGAATATATTATCGCACAGTACCAATAATTAGTTATCATTATCCATAATTGTCACGGTGTTGACGTTCCGAGGTCTTTTATTTGTAGCCTCAAATTTAGTGTTTATTGTTTACATGCTCTTAGGTTTTAAAATACCGAAATTTTACGTCCTTAAATTTAAGATTCTCAAGGTATTAAACATTTGTAGCTTTTCAATATTTTCAAAATACACTAACACCGTGTTAATAAATGTCCGATAATTTACCATCTAGTCACGTTTCCAAAATGAATATCGTTTCAAATAAAACGAACGGCATTCTACTTAACCTTTTGGTTCATAAAATAACAGACGTACACTAAGCTGTTCAAAAGTCTTTCTAACCATATATGTGCATTTAATTATTTTTTTATCTAGTTTTATCTACACTACGCAGATCAAGTGAAAAGATTGTTCAAATAACACATCTACAGTAAAATAATATATTTTTGTTACACATTTTTTCACTTTAAGATGTTTATTCGGGTTTTCCTTAAATCCATTTAGAAGATGTTTCCAAGTCGTGTTTAAAAATTCTTTTCGTGAGAAATTCTTCCTCTCTCATAAATACAATTGAATAACAATTTCATTCTAAATGATATCTTACTTTGACGTCAACAAAAAAAAATGAAAAAATCATGAACATGCTCGCTTTTAAGGATTAGGAAAACTTTTATAAAACTAATGATGGAACTTACTAGTTTTACTTCCAGAAGTAAACCGAAGTTTATAACGTCTGAAACTTGAGTTCTCATTGAATTTGTTTAACTGTTTTATCTACAGTGAAATTTGAATAAATTAACTAGCTACAAGAATAATGTAGTTAATATCAATGAAAAATACTTTTAAACTCCCAAAACTTTCAAGAATATTACTTTTTTTATATCTAAAATATTTAGTATTTCACACGTTTAAATACCACCTAATACGTTTAAATTATAATTAGGTAAATCTTTATTTTCATTTGACGTTGGTAATATTTTATTCTTAAAACTTTTCATAACATTTTGACATATCATTTAGATGTTCAATGTTAGCTCTACTACAATAAGTCTGTTAAATAATTGTATTAATCTCTGTACAAATTGTTTTGTCAGACCATTATATCGTGCAATTATTATAAATAACTTGTTATAATGCAACGCTCCGCCGAGCCAATCGTCGTTGAACTGCTGTATTAATCACCTTCACCCAGATAAGTACAATGTGGAAAATCAACAATTATTTGTGATAATTACAACTTATTTACCAAGAACTTGGCGATCAATAGAGTTTTATTTAGTAATTTTCTTCCACGTGCAAGTGAATCCAACCAAAATGTTAAATTCTAACGTTCCTGACACTGTGTGGCGTATATAATTTTCAGTAATCCTAGAAGTGATTTTACACATTCTACAAGCCATTTTCGACAAAACTATGAGGCAATATTCTGAGTCAAATCGTGTTCAAGCAAGTCTTTTAAATAACCCTTCAAACGTAACTCGTCATCCCTCTTGAATAATAAGTCGTGATGAAATGTCTCGTGTATTATTTAGACACAAAAAAAAGAGGTTGCATAGGTCTTACATCTTAGTAGCATAATATTATTATGCTGTCAAGGCATTGCAAACGATCCGTTGAAAACGCTTTTAACAATTCTGTACAACATAAAGCGATCGGAGAGATGAAATGCCACTCGAGTTTATTTGACGTTGTATCTTTGCTATAAACTTGAAATGATAATGTTCATAGAATAAATTATGCATAACCAATAGTTACTAATATTCAACATAACAATAAACCTGACAAAAAATTTGTGCAAAATTTATGTTATTTCCTTTGTTCTAAATACATGAATACCAACTTAAAATCGACCCAAACGTGTTATGAATTATGATGTATTATGCTGGTTGAACTGCGATATCAAGTACTTCTTTTCTAGTAATAAAATAATATAATATCGCCATATTATTAACGCAATGTTGAACTGTTGATCGATGTCTTTTTTCAGATTACCTTTTTTGAATTTTACATGTCATATCTATACTGCCGGCCAAAATTATTAGATCACACAATAACTTTAAGATTTTTTTCAAATAAGATTTGATATCTTGTTGGTTTATTAAATATTATTATAATATTAACAAACATGATTGCTGTAGATTCAAAGAAAAAATAATTCACCTGCAAAAAATTATCGACAGAAATTTTAATTCGAATTTCTTTGGTGATCTAATAATTTTGGCCACCAGTATATATACAAGATGATTCCTGTAACACTAGCCCCACTCGATATCTCTTAAAATAATAATTATGTTTAAAAAATATTTTTTTGTATTTTTAGTTTCACATATTTCTTATTTATCAGTTATTAGTTACTTTTTAAATTCATTCCTTATAAGGATGTCAACTTTATTTTTTTTAATGGCAACATACAGATTTAACTATCTTATAAAATAAATAATAATCTAATTAAGAAAAATGTTGTATAAATTAAAAAAAATTAATAACAACTATTGAGCCACTATTTCGGAAGCTATTTATGTCATTTCAAAATGTAGTGTGACGGTGAAGAGCAGGTGGTTGACAATATTTATAAGTAGATATTTTTCGGTCGCACCTCTCCTCCCGCCTTGCTATAAAAATGTTAATAACTTTCGTAGTATTGATCCAAAAAGTTGTTATCGACCAATAATTTTATTTTATAAGCTAGTTAAATAAATGTTTTCATTTGAGGAAATAAAGTTGACACCCATATATGTTTTAAGGGTTGAATTTAAAAAGTAATTATTAACTGATAAATCAACACTTATATGGCACTAAAGAATTTCAAAATTAATGTTCTTAACGCAATTATTATTTTAAGAGAAATCGAGTGGCGACTAGTGTTAACACACAACACTGTATATCTAATCAAGTAAAAACATATTGTCATCTTATACAATGTTATACAGAAATGGTACTTTCTCTATGAAATAAGTATGATTTGCCTGTCTCACTCCTTTGTAATTTCATGATGATTCAGTATCAAGCTAAATCATTTTTATTTTTAACCCCAGTAATATAGCGACGCATTTAAGATTTTGGCGTCTTGGAATTAAATTTTTTCCTCCAATGACAATTAATTAATTTTTTTTTTATTTTAATTTACGAAAAAATTGTTTTCGACTATTCTGAAACAGAATAGTCTATTAAGCAAAGTATTTTATTTGTCACCCACTTCATATTGTTGAATAGTTTTTTTTTTTGTAAAATGAAATTAATAATTGTGTATAACAGAATTTTTCACTAATGGTTTAAGTAGTATTTTAATTTTTCAATTTCTATATTACTAATTATTTTTCATTGGTCATTGATCTTTTTATCTGATTGTAAATCGTGTTTTTCATTGATTGGTGCAAACAACATTACTACAGTTGACAGTTAAGTGAATAGATATAGATAAACTGTTTACTTTCAACTGATTAATACAAATTAATGATTTAAATGAATTCAATTCATTTTACGGTAGGAAGCTTTCTTTGATTTTCTTGTTATAATTAAGTATCATGAAGAAGACGTTTGCATAATATATTAACACAAACGATTGTGTAATTTATTTTGTATTACATATTTGGTAATAACTTCGTTTAACTAACTTATGATGTATTTTTACGAATTATAGCTAAACAAAAGAATATTATGTCATAAAAATAAGTTTTATTTCTTAATTTTACATATGCTTATGACCTTTATCATTTATTTTTCAGGTTTTATCAACTCGAACACTTTGCATTCTTTAGCCCATTTACATGGTAAGTAATTTATCAACATATAAAAATATATATTTAACATATGGCAAATATGTAGTGTTTTAGTAAATAATGTTATTATACATTTACATAATGTGTCAATGTGTATAATACATTAGAATTATGTTTATCGAGCCTATCAATTTTATAATTATGAATCGTATTATGAACAATATTAGGTATGTCACATAAACCCATTATCAATTAAACAATTCGATTAATAAATTAATTCTGAGATTGACATAGAAATAACTAATCAAAAATATACAACGCAGATAGATATTTAATAGGTAATTAACAATCTAATGAAAATAATAATACCATTAGAAAATCGATTAGGGTTTAGGCAGATAACTCAAAGTAATAATAAATCGTTTTCTTCTTTTATATTTTCATCCGACAATTAATACTTGTATTATTCATAATTTTTTACATCATTTTGAAGGCTATTGTATTGTATTTGTGTAAATAGTGAATCTATAAAAATTATGGTTTGAGCAAATGTTTCTACGTGGTAATTTTTAATTATATTTCTACAAATACTATAAAATATTTTTTATTTTAAGTTGGTGATATTCTGTCATCTATATACTTATAGTTCGCCTATTTTCTATTTGAGTTGCTCGAAACTAACTTACTTAAAAAAAACAACTTTAGTCAATACTTAAATATTATTACCTACCAAAGTAATATTATTAATGTGTTTTTTTCACGAGTTCCGAGAACCTATTCTTCTATCGACAAGTCGTATTTTGATAGAATAATTTTTGACTATTTTCTTTTTGATACATAAAACGTTATTATTGAGGTTTTTGCGGGCATATGTTACTACAACGTAATCCGTTAATATTTTTAACATATTTCTACCTAATTATTTCTTCGAAAGTTCACAATAAGTTTTTTATATTAAAACTAATCTTGAATAATTGCTATTTTTTGTTACATAAATAACATTTGTATACATTGTAGCGATTTCACATTTTCATTAGAAGTATAATTTGAAAGTTCTAAAATGTGTATAATCTACTTAATCAGTGACGCCCAAGAGCTAGTGTAATTATTTGCATTTTCAGCTTTTGTGTTCTGAAAATTTTTAACAAAACTGTCGTTTAAATTACTGTTCTTATTTATTTTCTCTTTGTATTTTTAATTATGGTTACTAACAACGGTAATTATATGAAATAGAGTAGCATATGTATTATTTAATTTAACTACTTTTTTAGACGAGGGGTATTACATTACACGTACGATTCGTTCAGTTTTGAATGTCGATGTCATATATGTCTATGTGTTTTACATTCACTGTTCCCGTATTACATTATATTGCAGTTTTTTATGCGAATTTCTCTAGCACACCGTCGCTGACAAAACGCGCTTTCCTCGAAAGGAAAATGTATAAACAACGTATAAATCAGAAAATTTTACCGCTATGCATTATTCATTTTCCCACTCGACGGTTTATCCTTCCTTGACCCACTGGATTTGAACGATGTGCCTGGTTCTTTAACGAACCAAGAGCATCCTTTTTTTTAATAATATGCAATCCCGTGTTCCTTTTAACAAAAATATGCTTAGCAGACTGAAATAAACTCCAGTCGGTTCCTTTACTCCATAGAATAACTCGATTGTCGTTTTATTATTTGCTGGTTACGGTCAAAGTGGTAAATCGGCCATCAGGAATTAATTGATTATGTAGGGTTTTTTTTTTATTATTTTAGTCCAATTAGAACGTGTGCAGTGGAAAACACTCGGCCGTTTTTAGCCGTTCGATTACTTCATACAATTCATGAACGTTTTATAACTATCAAATTACTTTTTATTCTGTAACGCGTTATTTACTGTTTGTTAGATGTGTTGTGTTTAATCTTAGTTACGGTATTCCTGAAAATGTCGATAAATAGTGTGATATACACTCGGCTGGTCTGTACGATTCAGCGATTTTTTATTGTAACTAATGACTTTGTGTGACTTGTGGTTAACCAGTCGTTTTCCTAAGGGATATGACATTCATAATAAATTTTCAGTATTATGTAAGGCTGGTTTGTTCATTGGATTTTGTAATTTTTTCATTCTATTAACACGAGGAAACAAGACCGAGTTTGACACTATAAATATTTATACTTTGTACTTTTGACGTGCACATTCATTTGCCATTATTAGGTATAAACAGTTACATTGTGTATACATTATACGGGCGATAAAAAAACCAATTGCATGTGGCTCTCGTCCCCAGACTATTGAATAATATTAGAATATTTCTACCGTCGGTCCCGTGTCTAGGTTACACTGTCGTGTTTTAATATGAGGTTATCTAAACACAAAAATGGAAAAAGTGTCGATTGTTTTAGAAAGAGGGCTGTGACCTCTTGGTCGTCAACATAAACGTTGCGTTATCCACCGTGTATAATTTTAATTAAGGTGCTCTGAGAAATGTGTTGGGAAACAAATGTGACAAATACAGCCGTTACAAACCTGAGCGGCTCGTCGTGTTTCTCCGTGAACTCATTGGGGTGATTTCGTTGCAAACACCCAAGTTTTTCATAAGCGCATTTCGTTTAATGGATACTATTTTTGAAAAAATAGTATACATAAAAAACGATATTACTAAGCCGTTGCCATAGTCGTTAACTAAACCGTAAACGTTTAAATCGCCAATTGATATTGCTGTACTTTTTATTTAGTTGGCCATAAACATCATCGTCCATAAATATTCCGAACGCATTGAAACTGAATTTTTTCAGCTTTTTATTAACCAAAATCGTTAGAGCGAAACGATGCCCCGAGGCCGTTTTTCTGCCAAGGTTGAAATATGTAGAACATAGAAAAATTGTGTTAAGACTCGTTTAATGTCGTCTCGAAACATTTCCAAAAAGAGTAATGTTAAATAAAAAATGATAATAGTTATGTCGTCTCGTTCTTGAACCTTTCCTAAAATATATTAACCGCATAAAAAATTACCATTCAAATGAAATTCGAATTTCAAACTACGTACCTAAGGAATATACGTCTTACCGAATAAATAAACTCAATTTGAATTGTATTTTAAAGCGAACCGCGTTATTATGCGAACGCTGTTGTTGATATTAGACCGTATTAAATTCCCGTCCCGCAGAGTAACAACAACAACAGCTCAAAGGCTGTAATAAATTCATGTATTTGAACAGCCCTAGAGCTATGTGGTGATAAAGTCTCAATGATTTGCAGTTATGCGGCGCTTAGGCTGAGGATGCGCTTCGGTCCGATTTTATTTTTTTAACCCTCGAGCCCCGATAAACGATGCCACTCTAAGACGTACGTTACTCTGGTGTGATGATATGTGTTAATAGCGTTGGATAATCCACTCGCAGAGAGTAAGCTTGGACAGATTGCAAAAAAGAAACTCCTCTCTGTGCAATAACACGGAGAGCATAAATCACAACCGTTTGATGCTATCAAATTATAACACGTATATAAAGCGGTCAATTACAAGTTTAACTACTCATAAACTGTTTTATTTTGCCGCAGTTAGAGCCATGAATTTTTATACTGTCTCATTGTTTTACTGGTACTCGTTTATTTTCCATTCTATGTGTGATTTCCCTCCGTACTGTGTATTCAATTTCCAAGATAAAACGTGAGATAATGTGATACTGTAATTCAATTTTTATTTCTGAAGAGAACTGAACTATAGTGTAAACGTGAAATTCTTCGAGCTTCTGTCGTCTCGGAAAGTACCTTTGGCAAGGTTTTGGGCGTTTCCTTTACCGGCACATCGGTATTACTTACTTCCCAATGCCAAACGCCGAGTAAAAAACAAAACACACGAATACATAAAAAAATTCATCTCACCACTACGCGTTATATTCTATTTCCCTGTGTAATTCTTTAATAAAAGTTTTTCCCGAAAACGCTTCGAGACTGTTCAATAAAAGCTAACGTTCCTGATATCCGATAGCGCGAATGTTGTAACGTTGTGTTATTATACTTGATACTGTTACGTTATGTGTCGCCTATTGCGTAGTTAAAATTCACTGTGTAATTATATTCATATTTTATCCTAATACAACAATACTGGGCACCGATGGTCACCGATTTTAGTGACAGCAAATATATGGCTCGCAACACAAGTGCACAATTATTTGTTTATTGTTGCTCGTTTACATTCGTTTGATAATTTATGCGGTTTATTCGCTGTATTGTTTATCGTAGACAAAAAACTGTGTCTGCGAAATGCACGACCTGTACGTTCGAAAATAGTCGTTTTTCTAACAAAATCAAACTTCGAGTGGAAATCCGAAATATTCTCTGCTGAGTAAAAAAATTGTCATCGACATGTATTGGGTAGTTTCTCTACAGATTCAATCAACAGTGTTTCCTATGGTTTTACCTGCCGTACGTTGAGACGCTGTAATGCACACAATATTGATATAGTTTAATTTATTGTATGTTATTTTTTTTTTTAATTTGTGTATTCGTTTCAAACGTGCCACACCCTTCCTTTATTCGTATGTAATGTAATTTTGCGATAGTTTGTATTCAAGCGGATCATTTAAAGCAGTTGGTTTATATATGTTTGCGCCGGTTTGTACAGGACAACCAGATACGTGAGCCTCATTTTATGATCATCACTGTGTTAAACGCAAAATTAAAATGTCTACTACCTAAACAAACTGAACGTTCAATTATCTCGTCGTAGTATGACGCACATCGTTTTATAAATATTTACAAATATACACAAAAGTCTTAATTGACTGTGTGTACATTTAATACTTCGTTCGCCCCGTTGCTTGTTTGTTGGTTTAAGGAGCTCGTTTTCAATGTTTTCAAGTGATTGTCGAAAATTTCGTTACATTACTTATTGACCAAAATATTGCATCTTATTGTTTTGTTTGCCTTTAAAGAGAACTGCCAATTACTGTTAACTTTTGTTTGCAATAACAACTAATACTAAAAACAAGTACGAATTTTCGGATGAAAAATACAGTATAGTTTAAAAATCCATCTCGTTGTGCAAAACAGTATTA